GCAACAAACAATGTATTTTACACGCGTTGTATACGTCGCAATGAGTCCCATATCAAACAGGACACGGCACGACGACTGCCGCCCTTTAAGCGGGGGGAGTCGTCACCTGCTCATGTGACAAACGACCATAGCGTGTTGTTGTTTACAAATAAGCGTCTACCCATGAATCTTTGCAATTTTAGCTTGATACTCAATTCCCACAAATGCACTGGTGGTGACCCCTCTGCTTTAACATATCAGCTTCAAGCAGTTTAATGTCAGAATAATGACGTGGTCTGTACTAATACGTACGCCATTCATAATGATTCATTTGTATAATTACCTGTTATTCCAAACATGAATATATTGATATAGATTATCCATTTCATATCAACTTCTTCTCTGACGCGATGATAATCGTCGAAAAATTTGTCAAGCTCCCTCACGAGTTTCCAGAGGCCGTAGTTCAACCCGATGCAGAATAACGTGAACACCAGGTTACAACACACTATGATATATTTCCACCAAGTCGGCGGCTCGGGTGGCTCGTAATGCCACCATTTCTTGATCTTGTTACTGAAAGGCATTCTGAAGGAAGTTAGAAAAGATATGAAAATCAGTTTATGTTTTTATGAATAAATGCAATTTAATATGTTAAACTAACAGATATCAATAATATGAATGTGCACATGCACTTTGGGTTGGTTTCACGTACTTCTGATGTAACTTACTGGGGTATAACTTTTTTTTAGAATCAAGCAAAAACAAGTAAAAGTTATTTTAAGATTATGAAAATCAAAACTTCGTTAATGCAGACCCGAGTTCCACAAATTTTTCATTAAATTAGTAATAAATCCAACCTGCAATACAATGATTTTTCCCAGTCAGGAAGTACTTTATAACCCACCCTGCAACACAATGGTTTGTCCCAGTCAGGAAGTACCAATACTGTATAACCCTCCCTATAATATGAATGGATTGTTCCAGTCAGCTGTAAAATATTTCCTTAGCCTACTTCTTGTGTCCTTGGGATTTATTGAAACATGTATAAAAATAAATAAAACAAATCAACATATTTTCTTTTAACTGCTAGCTCTTACTAGTACAAACTAGCAACTAAAGAGAACCATCTTTCTCACCGCTACAAAATTCTACAAAATCGTTGGCATTAATAGAGATTACATGTACATACAGGTCTAAAAAATCCATTTGTTTACATTTCCAGATAGCCATGACGTGTATAATTTTATTACATGGGGGGATAATAGGTATACTATATTATATACTGTATTTCCTAGACAAAATAATCAGTCTGGTATTCAGTTCCTAACGGTCAACCCCTTTCGACATAATTAAATTTATTTACTGGACTACGCCTACTGTCAATAGAGATTGTCTTCAAAACATACTTTCACATGATTGCAGCCTTGTCTGACTGGGATATCGAACGTCACAGCTAGTTCAACAATGACATGTTTTCCATTCATTTTTTTTGACGACATGACAAGTATGCTAAGTAATGCGTCACCGCCGAAAACAACCTCTCAACAATCTCGACAGAAAACACCTTGGGAAATTCCCCTTAGTAGAGCCTCATACTTTTCGTTCCATGCTTACATTCGAGCTTGCTTTCTTATCTAGACGTATTCCGAGACTACCCCTTCACGTTGCGTCTAAACGACCTTTCAGATAGCAATTTCCCCGAGCAAAAGCATTTAACAATTATTAATTCACAGAAACAAAATACAGCAAGTAGCGTTACGCTAACATCTCAGACCGAACAGCTGATCAGTTGAGCTGCCAAGATGAAAGCATGGTCATTTTTGAGATACGTACCTTGTTTCGCCACTAATTCACATTTCCTGTGTTGTTTCTGTGCTTAGGAGAACCACTACACGTCTACGTATCCTTAGATCACTGATGAATGAGGTAAAACTAGAACAAAACAACGTTTTCAGCCAACAGTCCAGAAACACTACCACGCTGTACACAACGTCCACTTTTAGTTTCACGCTTTCACCTGTGACGCCCAAGCTATTTATAGATCAATGACGCAAAATTTGCATATCAAATGAATCATGTTTTTTCGAACTTGAGTGCAATTTCTGAAAATATTTTCATTTTATTTTCATGGGCATGACTAATTGACCAATCATAAGTAAGGGACAGATCATTTGTAAAAGGGGGGGGGGGTATAATTTGTTTGCCCACTTTGTTTTTTTGTGTGATCTTTTTCCAAACCCATAAAACTTCTTTAATATTATGAGTAAATTTCCGAAATACCACATTTAATATTATGAGTAAATTTCCGAAATACCACATTCTATAGACTATAACCTCATTCAGACATATTGTATTTAAATGAGCACACAGATGTCAAGGATAAGATGAGAACAATACATTTTATTTCATACAAATATATATTTAAATTACTTTGTTAACACCATGCATTTCTTAATAATTTGATTTCATAATTTTTCTATGTCAAAATGTTGGCATAGTATTTTTAGCTCCGCTGTCGACTTTGTCGAGCGGAGCTTATCATATGAGTGATTGTCCGTCGTCGTCCGTCGTCGTCGTCGTCCGTCGTCCGTCGTCCGTGTCAATGTTTTACTTTTTCGACTTCTTCTTGAAAACTACAAGCCTGAATGCTTTGATACTTGGTGTATATGTACCTTGGGTAGACCTCTCTCAGATTTGTTCATTTCGTGATGATATCTTCAATTCTCTAATTTTGGTGAATATTTTTGTCATTTTTAGTAAAAAGTGATATTTTCGACTTCTTGTTGAAAACC